TCTCTCTCTCTTTCTCTCTCTCTCTCTCTCTCTCTCTCTCTCTCTCTCTATATATATATATATATATATATATATATATATATATCACACAAAGGATGGGTGGCGTTAGGGGTAAGATACTGTAAATCATACGATCAAGTTTATCAGTAAATTCATTATATACATTTATGTCTCCGTGATCTAAAAGGACTTAAATAATATGACATACCAATTAAAAGAATAGGACAAACTCAAGTATGATGTTCGAAATTTGGCCGATGACGGCCGCACTCATCGAAGGTCCCTCTGATAAGAGAAGCTTTGTGATAAACATCGAATAATGTTGAGTAATGATATTTACGTAATGCTTCCGCATGAAAAATCTAGAGTTAATATATAATTTCCAAACAAATAGTGCACATGTTTCAATGTGTAGGGTTGCAAAGAAGCAAGCTAAAAGTTGTGTAAGCTAAAAGTTGTGTAAGCCAAGAGTAAAACAATTGTGTAGTATAGGTGCACAGCCAAACATGGTTGTAGCTAGATACCTACATTTTAAGACGTAGTAGATAACCGCCTATGTATATGGTGTTAATGTACATGTATAGCAGGTTTAAGTTATAAGAAGGTTGAAAAAGCGACAGAAACAGTAAAAGATTTTTGTTGGTTTTTGCTGCTGTAGGTTTTCCTTATTTTCATTATTATTATTGTAAAAATTATCAGAATACACGTGCAAAATGCTCCTGATAAAATAATATAATAAAGGGTAAATCATAGTTGCCTTTTTTTATACAAAAAAGGATCAACAATAGTTTATTCGTTGGAGCCCCCTTGCCACATTATTACCAAAATTATTGTCAAAAGTCAACAACATACCTACCACTAATACTTAAGGTCCAAAATCGTTTACTTACTCATTTATTCAAATAAAAGAAATCTCAACTTCATTTTCAAATTGATATTATCTTTTTTTAGGCATCATGATACATTCAACCCGTTAGAGCTAAATATGGAAGCCGTCTGCCAAAACGCCGAGAGTGTGATTCAGTTGGAATGCGCTGTAGCATACGGATGACACGAAGCCAGGACATTACAAAAACAATCGGCACACCCATTTGTATAGATAAACTCACATTGCATCTTCATTATTATCATTTATCTCAATCGCGGCATTTTTTTATACTTCGGTAGATAAATACGAAAAGTTGTTTTGCTTTCTGAGAACTCAACTGTGCAGGAGATATACACAATTTGAAGAACCGAAAGCTCAGTTCAGCCAACTAAACATCATGAAAAGCTCAACCTCCTGTACAAGCTTGGTAGACAATAACATGTCTACAGTTATAGAAAATGAAGAGGATGAAGAAAACTCGGTAATTTTAATTTATTTTACTATTCTCAGTGTCTTAGAGAGAAAGGGGCTCTTATATTCCTATTTTTAATTGCACTCAGCTCTCAAAAACAATTTTAGCAAATAAAAAAAGATCCTCAAAATATTTTGAATACTTTCCTCAGACTCGATGAACTATTGCCTCTGACTTCTTAGCCCTTCCATTTTGCTTGCCACTACATGTACTTATTATAAGAAGAGCTATTGTTGTTTCTAGCTTTATTTTCAAACATTCAAAAACTTTTTCTGCTTTACAGATCGTCACAGCATACAAGCCAGACAAGGTCCGCCTGCTGCTGACCATACTCCTTACGCCTCTCACCGGTGGCATTCTTTTGCTCTTCATATATTGGAGGTCAGATTGGAGGCTGAAGGTGACACACAGTCCCTGTGAGTTAAAAGAAGCCACCAAAGTCTTAATCAAAGTAAGTGGGACTATTAATCTCACTGGTCAAATTATTGAATCAAATAGACAAATATAAGGTTTTCAGTAACGAATTAATGTCCCTCTTTTACATTGTTACCCTTGTATGATTTGTACATTATATTTTAGAATACAATTAATAATATGATGCTGTAAGAAGTTGTAGTACACTATTTTTTATGTCTCTTCATTAACTCAAGCGAAAGTATAAGTAAAGGACAAACACAAATATGGTGTTCGAAATTTGGCCGTTGACGGCCACTTTTATTGAAAGGTCCCTCTAGTAAGGAATAGTGTAAGGTTATTATATAGCATTAAATGATGTTGACTAAATTAAAATTAGGTTATATTATAGCATGAATAATAAATATCCAAACAAATATTGCACATGTTTTCATTTTGGGAGTTGCAAAGAGGCCAACAATTGAATTTATTCGGTAGCCAATTCAACAAAAGATTGCAGACACACACGGTTGCTTCTTGGTCATTTGAATTTACTTTCAAAAAAAAAAAAAAAAAAAGATAAATATTGAAGTCAAACAAAAACAAAAAATTGGATCATTATCTTGGTTGGGCCATTTTAGTGAGTAATGCTTAAAAATACGACGAAGCTACTGGAAAAACAGCGTTTTTAAGCGTCATTTATCCGGGGGAGGGGGTGGACTTGGGAATGTCAATTTTATAATTTCAAGAGTGCTTTTTACAAAAATTGACCCCTAAGAGCGTCTTTTACACCTATATTTTAACACCTTTTTAATAGCTTTCAAATTACTAAGTTTAATCCGTAAACAAGTTTTTTTAAACATTCCTCTTTCAAGTGCTTTTAAGTTAAAACTAAACACCCCCAAATACATTTTAATAAAATTATCTCTTTTAATAGCTTTATTATTGCAGACACACACGACTGCTTCTTTTAATTGTTTTAAAAAACAATCATGAGAAGCGTTGTCAAAGATCAAACTTACCTGAACGCTTGATACTAGTAGGCCTACTTCCCTTTTTTTATAAGGAAAACTCTCCCGAGATTTTCCCATCTCGGTGCGGTTCATTCTTTTGAGTTGCTTGTCAGACCTACCAAAGATTGCCCAAACTCCGGGACCTGGGATTCATTGTTACCAATGTGAAAATCAATCCCATCACTAATAGAAATTATTATTTCGTTTACCATAGGATCAATACAAGCAGCTATTTGTAGAAGACGTCATCAGCACCAGTTATGAGAGAAGATCATCCCAGACTGAGGAGATATACCGGAATGTCTCACTGAGATATTTTGTACATAAAGAAGTTCGTTACATTTGGGAAAATGCAACATTTTCTCGACTTGTGTATGTATATGTATGGCGTTTTTTGTCGGGGTGCCAATAATTCGCCAATAATTAAACCCATCCTAGGATGTTGGATCCTTGGCCCACCTTTGTTTCTTTGTCCATCGTCTTTTTAGGTTTTAGTTAAGAAATTAGATGATATTAATCTAACATGTAGGCTACTTGCAAACAAAGTGTATGTAGCGAACGTTCCTATGACCTATATAACCGAAAATAAAACTGACAAAAACGTTGAATTACATCAAATTATATTTTTCGTGTTATTGACATACACATTCTTACTTGCAGAGGCCTGGAAAAAGGCAAAGAATGCGCCCATTTCCACAAGATCTCGCACGGCATGCCGAGATCAGAACAGACAAGTCAGCGTGTTTTGTATGGCACCAACTGTATAGTCATCCAAGTCAGGTCTTATCTGGACCTGTTTTTCAATGAGGTTACTGTAGAGCTGCAAGTTATCTTAAAATGATAAAATTACTGTACTACTTTTGCTGTACTGCTTTTTGGGTTTCGCAAATTCCATTAAGTAATATCTCAAATAAAAAGCAGTGAATTAAGAATATCAAAAAAATGTTTTATTGAATGGATATACGCTGAACACGTGCCTTGACTCAATTTTCTATGGGATGTGGGAAAACAAACAAATAATGGCAGTCAAATGCAGAGATGTTTTGTGGTAACATAGAAAAAAGTTGATTTTCTATATCAATCTCTTAGCTACAAATTAAAATACCTTTATACTCCTTTAGGCCCTGAACCCGTTCTATATCTTCCAAGTGTACAGTGTGACTGTGTGGATGGTTCAGTTGTATTTTCTGTATTGTGGCTGTATCATGGTACTATCTACGATATCCATTGCTTTGTCAGTCTATGAAACCAGAAGGGTAACTATGAAATACACACAGATGTGTGTGTGTGTGTGTGTGTGTGAGAGAGAGAGAGAGAGAGAGAGAGATTAAAATTAGACTGGTGCTCACAAAAGCTTTTAAAATTGCTACTCAAATAACATGAAATAGTAAAACAGAACACAATGAGATTTTTATATAAATTAGTATCTATTTTAAAGTAAATTAATGCTTGTAAACATTCGAAATCACTTGCGTTATGCTCGTTGTACATGTGCCATCCAAACTTGCACAATTATGGGTTAATTTAGGGTTTACTATTGATTTCAGTCCAGTGTTGAGTTAAAAAAGAAGGTGGTCTCTGGCTCAAAAGTCACTGTTCAACGCGGAGCTTGTAAGTATTTAGCTAAGACCTTAGTACATTGTACGTCTCAGTTCAAGATGCTGTGCCTTTTGTGTTCGTTCATAGGCAGTATGTGTCATACCTTGTTAAAAATGCCGTTGCTTCGTTCATTAGCGCTGTTTGTCTCTTGCAGCGGAGAACAGCCATACTGTTGGCTCGCGAGAGGACGTGCGTGAGTTGACTTTTGGTTAAAACCCATCTAAATTTGCTTGGAGCATGAGCCTTGTCCTAACCTATTAAAAGCTTGTATTATAGCATGTTCTGCAGAATCTACACTTGGGGAGACATGAAGAAAATCGGAGGGAAACGACTTTCCTGTATATATTTGGTTGGAGCTTTTAAAACGTCTGCATAGAATCCCCTTTTGTGCCATTTCCCGAAACTGCCGATATCACTAGTACAAAATTGGCGTAGGGCATATCTCTGTTCTCTTTTAGACTAACAGCATGTTATTTTCAAGATTTTGAACGTGCAATTGTATCACACAGGTACAATATTAGTTCTTCTCGTGATGCTCGATCTTCTTTGAGCACGCCTTTACTCAGGGCCGTAGCCTCCGGGGGGGCAGGGGGGGCAGCTGCCCCCCCTGGGATTTGAGGTGCAAAAAAAAGTCGCAATTTCTGACTTCTGATTGAGCAATAAATAACAGTTAAAATGCACCAGAATGCAGTATTATACATACAGTTTTTAAAATTTTTCCACACCGTGGGACACCCCCTCCCACAACCTCCCCACTCAGGGGGCTCTGCCCCCTCGTGTCCGCTTACTGCCCCCCCCTTTCATTTTGCTCAGGCTACGGCCCTGTTACTTATAATTCAGCTTGGTCGTTTCTAGTAAGCTTTTGGAAAATTTAAATGGAGTACTCAAGCAAAAGCTACAAAAAAGTGTGAATATTAGGGGCCCTAAAAAATCACGGGCAATTTGAAATGGCAATTTGAACATTTGATAACGTGGAGCTATCTTCTTGGGCAGCGAAAGTAAAGTGTAAAGTGCAGTAGCTGGTAGTGCTTTTACCTTGAATCGAATGTTTACATGTTGAGGTAAATGCTTGTGTAGGCCTACTTATTTATTTGTTTTTTTCATGCACGGTAGACAATATAATTGTAAATTAATGCCTTCATATGTCTGAAATATAATGCTATATTTGCATTGTTAATGGAGAGACGTTTTAACGCCTATTGATAAAATGCCCTTCTCACCGTTTTCATTTTCTAAATCTATCCAAAAATGTTTGCTTTTCCTACCTTTCCTCTCTGTAGAGGCCTTATGACTTCATATAAGCTAAAGATATAAGTAAAGATATTTGTACCGGTATAATGTCCCTCGCATGGAAACTGTTTTTTTTTTATTGCTTGAGCGCTTTATTTTTCGTTTCGTGTCCCTTTTTCTTCTCTGTAAAAACTATTTTCAAAAGTTTTCAGCCACATCACTAATTTACCTGAGTGTAAGTGAACATTTTATTGGTTTAAAAATATTAATGTTAAAACAGCGTTCATTTCATAAGAACTACTAAATTAAAAATCCCTGTACTGTCAATCTCCCCATCACCCTCGTCAAAATGCAGTTAAAATAAGAAAATTAGAGCAGTGCAATAGCTTTCTTAACGATCTCATTTCAGTTACGGAAGTGATTGATTCGGATGATCTAGTGCCAGGTGACGTCATCATAATTCCAGATCATCACACCAAGTTGGAGTGTGATGCAGTCCTTGTTAATGGCAACTGTGTGGTGAACGAAAGCATGCTTACAGGTATTGGTGTAGACACCCGATTATACTATTATTGGTTGACACATGGGCAAAATGATGAAATTTTTGAATTTCTTTTTTACCATTTCAACAACATGCAATAGTAAGCCACAATATACTAGTAGACCTACGTAGGCCAAGCGATAAAAAATGTAGCTAGAACTACTATGGCTTAATTTTAAATCCTTCATATCAGTACTAAAGGGCAGAGTTCAAAGTGTAAAACTTAGATGAAAATCGACTTCGAACTATGGAGAATTCAGTGTGGGCACAGGGCCGTGTTGCATGCCCCCTCCCCACAAGCACACACACACCCCACACACATGAATCTTTATACGCCCACCCAGCCAACCCATTCTGTCTTTAAAAAGAATAAATAAATGTGTGACAGAAAAAAATATCCGTACGTGCAATGTACAGTACGCTTAATCTCATCAAATAAATTTGGCACTGAGAAAACAACGTGTCCAACAAGGGGTCCTTCGACGTTCCAAGCTGACATTTCGCTCCTCTCTGCAAAATCTTGAATACAACAGTGTGCCTTCATATTTTGTTAATAATGTAATTGACTGCGATTAAAGTCAGCAATAGGTTCTATATGCAATGCGTGTTTTATCAACGAACGTTTCAATAGTGGTAAAGCGCTATATTTACATTGATTGGTCTTCTCTTGACATTGTTGCTAAGTGGTCACCTAGCGGTAGCTTTATGAGTGACATATCATGCACCAGCTGACGAACCTGTCCGTCTCATATCAGACGCAGTACTTAAAGCCAGAATATAAACAAGTGTGTGTATGACTAAAATTAACAGGTAAGTATACTCTTTTAAATTCTTTATTTGACTTCCATGAACATCGTAGAAATTTTATGCAGTAGGGCCATTCTTTGAGACTGCTTTTTGCAGTAGGCCTAATTATAGAGAGGCCACTGATACCGGCGTAACATGTAGTGTACACATGGTATATACCTCACTGCTTGGATACCTTAAGACAGCTACACTGCAATGCATGTTCCTTCATTTGAAAGAAGTCCTCTTTGGGTAAAACTGATATATGGAACGGATGTTTGTGTATTAGACTATCGAATATTTACAAAGAAATTCCTATAGGCCTACGCTCTTAGGATAAATTAAGTATACCATCAATAGGTTGTCAATCGATTAATTAAGCAATTCTAGTGTAAGACTTGTGGTAAACCAAGTAGATCCATTCCCTGTAGAATCTCATGTAAATCTAATTAGTCCATATTGCATTTGAGAACAGCCTAGTCCTATTAGAATTGTGATTAGGTCCTTTTTGAAGCTTATATATAACGTTACTACGTTTAAAATACCAGAGGGTTTTCTAATCACTTTAATAACAGAATGTAGGGCACACACTTCTGAAGTAATCAAAGTCTATAGTCTTTATATTAAAGCGGAGCTAAAACGTCTGGGTCAGATGTCGAATTTCGAAGCTTGACTTTACTTGCTTCATAATCAGTTTGACCTCGTCGATTCTTTTGTGAGGCATGTTTAATTTAAACATACGTATTGAATGGGTATCGATAGCCTGTGCTTCTCGATTTATTTAGCGTATTGCTAAAACAAGCAGTACATAAACATATAGTGACGCTGACATAGCATACTTGTTACTCAGTACTGTTAGCGTTATTGAATTCATTATTAATCAAAGAAAAGCGAGCATGCAATCTAGCCTATAGGCGCACTAGCTAGCTGTAGTACCTACCGGTTTATGGCACTTCAAAAGTTCGAAAACTTAACACAGTTTGATTTAGTTTTTTATTATTATTTTTAAGTAAATCTATATATTATTTTATTTTACTGTTTTCATATTTCGCCTAATTTATTTTGCAGATGGTGAATTTCTACCCACGCCTAACTTAATAAAGAAGAAAATCGTAAGATGTCGCCAGTAGCAGACGAAGTTTGGACTGCTCGTCCAAAATCAAGGGAGGCACAAATCCAGGAAACGTATTACAAACGTAATGCTACAACCAGCAATGTGTCACCGCTTTTATTTTGTCGCGTGACCCCACGCAGACGACCAGCCATCGAATACGGACAAGCTGCAGACGATTCTTCCTCCATTGCATATCAACGTAAAGAAGAGACATATGCTCGCCGTAATGCAAGTTCTAAGGGTGCCATAATACCAAGCAAGTATGATGCGCAAGCAAGGACTCAGTACCTAGAGGATGACGACGAGACACCTAGCCAGGTATCCAGCAGACGATACGCCTGGGCCCCTCGCACTAAAACCCACGGTGACCTCAAAACTGAGAGTTTCAACAAGAGAAATATCAGCACAAATAATATTTCACCCGATTTGGCCACCCGGGACACTGCGAGGCAGCAAACAAGTGCAACGAAGGATGATGAATTAGTTGACGAAATTTGGGGAACACGGCCTCACAGCAGAGATGAAACGCGAAAAGAAAGTTTTGACAAGCGCAATAAAACAACGAGCGCTCTTGACACGCATTCCAAGGGTAGTAGCGTTCTAGACGGAGTGAATTACTCCTATCCTGCAGACTATGAAATTCACCCACGCATTGTTAAACCCGAAGCACAAGAAATTGCTGATCTTAGTAAGGGTGGACGCATGAGTATGCTTTTGGGCAAAGGCTCTAAGCATTTGTCTCAACCGACAGATTACCCTATACAGCCCAGGGTTGTTAAGCCCGAAGCCCAGGAAATTGCCGATCTTAGTAAAGGCAAAAGAATGGAAAAACTGCTAGGAAAGGGCACAAAGCGCTCGTCTCGCTCCCAACCAACGGATTATCCACTTCATGCTAGAGCCGTTAAACCGGAAGCAGAGGAAATCGCTAACTTAGGGAAGGGGGGTCGAATGCAAGGATACATTGGGAAAAACTCCCAGCACTTGTCCCTCCCACAGAAACACCCCATCCATCCTAGAGTTGTGAAGTCAGAGGCAGCAGATATTGCTAATCTGAGCAAAGGTGGGCGAATGAACGTTGTTTTGGGGAACGATCCCCAGCAGAAGGTGCCGTATCCCAACGACTATCCAATCCATCCAAGAAAAGTCACCGAAGAGGCCAGTGGTATTGCCAGAATAAGTAAAGGTGGACGAATGGAAAGACTTATCCATGAGTATGGCCATCTTACCCCATCCGCACGCCCTGTGCCGAGGATAAAACCCGAAGCAGAGCAAATATACGAGCCTCATCGCGGAAAACGCGTGGCGCGGATTATCAAACAGCAAAGAACAAGTCAGTCAGCAAGATCGTACAGTTCGCTTGGTTATTACGGGTCGCGTGATGACACAGGTGACGTTTTTGGGGGTCAACGACCTCACACTAGGGACGAGACACGTTCTGAAAGTTTTCATCGCCGTAATGCCACCACATGGTGGTAAAATAACTACATATGAGAATCTTTAGCTTTTGACTCAGATGACCTTGTCCACATGAATTTCCTTTGGGATTGTTAAAGATGTCCATGATACAAGCTCATATTTAAGAAGTGAAGGAAAATAACCAAAAAATTAGATTATGAAGTGGATTTTTAGATCCAAATTAATATTATTTCACTTTAAGATGTGATATGCTAGTATTTAAGGAAAAATGAAATTTTGCATGCCAATATTGTTATCATCACTTAAACTATACCACGTTCATCCTTTTAAAACTAGTTACAATTTTAGATTATTGTGCTAAACTGCGTTTGAATGACTATTTGCACTGCTGTGATAAAAGTTATTATAGACTTTTCATGAAGATTTTGTAGTTGAAATTACATGAAATGAATCAAATATTTATATTTTATTATAAAATAAAATGCTTAAAAACTATGCCGATTGCGTACGTTCTTTTTCGTTTGCGGGACGGATATACAGTGTAATAGATTCGAACAATATCCTATGGCACCATAAGTCTTACATTTAGCAGTTTGAAAAAGCATCTGTTAAATTCAATTTTTTCAGTTATATTTTCATGGCACATAAACACATAATACAATACCCCCTTTCCAATTTTGCGAATAACTTCAAAAACTTAGATTTGGCTTCCCTAAAAATTGTTTTTTCTGTCCATTTTTGGGGGGGGGGGGTTCTTGGACTTATTTCACAAAGTGATCTTGTTTTAGCATACCTCTAGGGCTGGATAAATAGTTCAATGACATAAAACACTTTATGTTGGCCGTTGGTGATTTCAACGATTAAGACATTGTTCGTTACTACACACGGGACTCCACATTGTGTTAGTTGAGGCAAATTGCATTGAAATCATTTGTGTTATGTTCACTTGGTCCGCAGGAGAGAGCATACCTATCACAAAGACCTCGGTACCAAATGTCAACACTGAGATGTACACTCCTCTCACCCACAAACGACACACGTTGTTCTGTGGGACGGAGGTGATTCAAGCGAGGAGCATGAATCAGGAATCTGTGAAAGCCGTGGTGGTAAGAACAGGTTGGTAAAAGCTGATATTTATTTTTCATTTAAGGTGTACTGTACACGTTTAAAATTTTTCCAAAGTCATATTTCTTGTTTTCATGTTCTGCGAAGCTTCCTTATCTTTCCCAATTCAGACCTTAATAACGATGAAAAAACAGAAATAAAGGTGCCTGATGTCTATATTTCCTTCCGAAATTAAAAATAATGAATGGTGTATCGTTTTAATGACTATGAACTCAGTTATAAAATTGAAAATGGTATAAACATCAGTTTAAAGTGCAGGGACGAGTGGAGCAATGATTCGTGAGAGAGAAAAAAATTCCCGTTAAAATGCGTTTTACGGAAAAATCTCATTTAGATTATCTTTAACCTTTTGTCAATGGTCTAAACATTAGTGAATACAATTAGATGTGATACTGAGATACTGATAGCTTTTTTTCTATAGGGAACTACACAATTGTTAAGTTTAGTAATCTGGGCGTTAGCCTTTAAATATTGTAATAACAATGATATATTTAAGAAGAATGAGATACAGTCCTAGAACTCTAAAATATGTAATACCCATGGCATAGTCTCTCTCTTTCTCTTACACATGCACTCACGCGAGCGCGCGAACGCACATAAAATTAGTTTGAATAACTTTTTTTACTCTTAAACATGAATGTTTTCAGGATTCGCCACTGCAAAAGGAGAGTTAGTGCGATCTATACTTTTCCCTCAGCCACTAGACCTTAAATTGCACAGAGACGGCCTTAAGTTCATCGGGGTAGCGCTTATCATAGGTATGACTTTTTCACTTTATTCTACAGTTAGTCATGTAAATCGTGTATTTACATATGTAAGACAGCTATGTAAGACTTGGTTATATTCTCACAAAATGAAAATGAAACATGAGTTTTAACATTTAGTGATATATTTCAGCTTTTGTGGGACTTGGATTCGTAGTTTTCACATACTTGTACCATGAGGTAAGCTTTTCGTGTTTCTTTCCTCTTAAATTCAAGTGTAAACATTGGTTTCGGTGAGCTTGTATTTATGTTCATAAACGTATAATCGTTCAACCATTTATTTTATTAAATCCATGCAATGAACCCCTTTAAAAAAAGATTTTAACTTTTGTCGGAATCACGACGTAACAAATGGCATTCCTGTTTATATACTTGTTTCAGATATATGAAGACATGGCTATCACCCTTCTAAACATCACGACATTTTGTGTGCCTCCCGCTCTGCCGGCAGCTATCACGATCGGAAATGTGTTAGCGCAGAAACGGCTGGAGAAAGCCAAAATTTTCTGCATGAGTTCGAGATTTATTAACTTTACTGGCGCACTGAATGTCGTATGTTTTGACAAAGTAAGTTAAATTAGACTTACATACGTTTTTTAGTAAAAATAATCCTCTAGTATAATCGACACGAGTGTCACAGATCGCACTGTCATGCAAACCGGTTTACAGTTTGGACAAAGAAGAAATTAAGGCTTCCTTCACATGAAAAATCTATTTTCTAAAAATCTATTTTCTATTCGCGGTATCTTGTGATCACGGTCTGTGCCCTGAATACCCCGCGGCGTAATTACTGGCAGCGCGAGCCAGTTACTTCCAAAGCTGTAATTAATTCTCGGCTGCGCTCGGAGTCTAAGGAGCAAATACTGCGCTCTTGTTTTACATCGTCTATTTACGGAAAATATATTTTCTTTTTGCTAATTAATTTATTATGCATTTTTATTTATTTATTTATTTTTTTTTTTTTTGATTTTATGATATATTCCTATGCATTTTCCACTAGACTGGTACCCTCACAAATGATGGATTGGATCTCCACGGACTGCGAAGGGCAGAAAATGGAAGGTGCGAGCATTTCCTATATTTCTTTATTAATGTTCACAAGGGACCCGATTATGCATAAGCGATACATTTTTCTGCTTTTAATGTATGTAAATGTATTTTTGAAAGAAAATGTGATGCAGGAAAACGTATGTATATCCAACCAACTATTGTCTATGGATCTGACTGAACAATTGTTGTCTTAGGCACTTGCCCCCCCCCCCCACACACACACACACACACACACTCTCTCTCACACACACACGAACACAAAAAGGATAAAGATCCAATATACTTTTTGTTTAGGTTCCTCAAAGAAAGTCTTGGATCGGAAAACCTCCCCACTGGTTCGTGTCTTACATGCATGGCGACGTGCCATTCCCTACACATCATAGACGGCAAACCTGACGGATATCCATTGGATGTAAAGATGTTTGAAGCAACAGGATGGGTAAATTATAACTGTGCTGCTTCTCTCCATTAATTCTACTGTGCTCATATATGTAGAAGCATTCCTTAAGTATTGCCTTTTTATGATATAAAGAATTAGAGGGTTAAGGTTGATGGTATTTCCGGAATTAGATAAATTACTCCATTATTATTGCTCTTCATTCTTATAAAACAGAATAGCTCTAAAATGTATGCTTCCGCACCGGTATATACATGTACTACATATATTTCACTGAACAACCCTTCAGAAAACTGGAAAATAAGATGCGCTTGTTATCTTTGTCCTTTTTTCCGTAGGGCCAACTAGGTCTTGGTTATTAAAACGTTCGTATTGTCATTGATATTTTGATGACAATTATATTTTCACTAAAACTAGTACTGTGATTGTTCTTGTGTTACATTCCATCCATCTATCTCTCATTTTATCATCTTTTCAAGATACTCAAGGATCCCAGCACGTTAATGCCATACGAGACGAAATTTGAGAAGACACCTATGGCCATCGTTCAATCAGACAAGGTAAATATGTTTGTGAAAAAGATGCAAGTTTCCAAACGTTTTTTTTTCTTTTGAAATTCATTTATTATATTAACTTGTTCATGTCCTTATTTTCAATTAATTTTTGTTTCAAAACGCTAGAAACTTGGTGGATTTTTTTTAATTTCTAAGACTGTGAAAAATTGAATTTCCATAACATAATAATAGCAATGTAAATGAAATTTAATAACATTTAAGATAACACAACTCACCACAGCGTCGTTTGTGTATCGTCTTCTAAGTTTTCTTCTTGTATGTTTTCAAGGGCGGAGAAGTGGCTGTTATACGCCAATACACGTTCGCCTCGGGACTTCAAAGAATGAGCGTCATAACGAAATCAGAAGATAGTTCGGAACTCGAAGTTTACGTTAAAGGGTCTCCTGAAAAGATCACCAGTATCAGTAAACCAGAGACCGGTAAGGCAGATGTTCTTATAAGATTTCAGGATAAAAATTGACTTTTAACGGGATTTATGAACTCTTAAAATGGCTATTTTAAAAGGCCATTTCTCTTTTATTGCCTGTTAATATGATCCTTCCAAATGCGTCTATTGTTGCAGCAATGCAACTGTAAAGCATTATTTTATAGATTTTAGGGGTTTAATGTTATTTAGTAGGATTTCAGCAACCTACTTAAGGTATTTCAAATGGCATTTTTAAAATTAACTCCTTAATTGATACATCTATGTTCACTGCTACTTCGGATACTATTGTCACCTGGCATGCTGCATACTTCTCCGTCATCACTACAGCAACAAAGACAAAACACAATAGCGATTACACTGCAATGAAGCTGTGAAACACGCACTTTTATCGTATAATCTTGTAAAGTTCCAGAAGACTGGCAAGACATCTTGGAGGTGTACACCAGAGATGGATACCGTGTCATTGCCTTGGCAACCAAAAAGCTAGATCCTAGCATCACTTGGGATGACACACAAAACTTAAGCAGGCGAGTGTCGGGGCAATAGCAAAAAAAAAAAAAAAAAAAAAAAAAAAAAAAATTAATAAATAATAATAATAATTATAATAATAATAATAAAATTAATAATAATAATAATAAATATATGATATATCAAAAAATAATATTTCATGGGAACGCCATTTGGTTGTGTTTTAAGCAGTGTGTTTATAATGACTGCCCCTCCCCCCCCCTCCGATCCCGTCCCAAATAATATTGATTATTGACAACTCGCTTTACCATTTGTACACTTAATATCTCAAACAATTATTTTTTAAACAACACTTGACATGTAAATAACCTTGGCTCTACTTTTTATTTCAGAAATAAAGTAGAATGTGATCTGGAGTTTCTAGGCCTGCTGATAATGGAAAATAAGCTGAAATTTTTTAAACAACACTTGACATGTAAATAACCTTGGCTCTACTTTTTATTTCAGAAATAAAGTAGAATGTGATCTGGAGTTTCTGGGCCTGCTGATAATGGAAAATAAGCTGAAACCAGAAACTATACCCGCAATGAAAATATTGCACTCAGCCAACATCAGAACAGTAATGGTCACAGGTGAGATTATTGGAAGATTGTTCTTTATCTCAGCAACTTCAGTCTTGGTGCTATACATATCGATTATCTATTAAAAATTGATAAAACAAACGTCTGGTACCAACAGTATTTTATTATGTTTGGGCCTGATTAGGGAGTCTCGAGAGCAGGGTCTTAAGCTGAATCAGAATAAATAGCTTTTTCCTTATGTGTGTTGAGCAGGTTCTTCATACTCGTAATATGGCAAAAAATAAGTTGGCAACATTAATATATTCGGTGGTAATCTAAATTCAAATCAAAAATGTAAAATCGTCTAAGATAGATATATATTAGGGTTACAAGAAAAAACGATGCATTACTTTAGACTTTAAATGCTACAGAGGGCAAAGAAATAAAGTAGAAAGTGCTCTTTTGTAACTAAACGGAAACTTGAAATAGAAGCAGAGAAAGAACTGCATTATTACCCATAGTCGAGCGTAAACCAAGGATGAGAAATGATGTAAGAGAAAACTGTTGGGAACTCTGTAATCCAGTTTTTCCAGCTGTCAAGTCTGCTGGAAGATATTGAAGAAAAAGTGAAACATCGATCAACGTGCTTAGATAATCTGTATATAATCAAGGATAACGGCAGCGGAAACAAATTCACGCTAATATATTTTCAATGTATCGCCGTAGGAAACTGAACCTAGATAAAATATCTTTCTACTATTATTTTGTGTTCAAGGTGATAATATCTTGACGGCGTTGAAAGTGGCGAGGGACTGTGATATGATAAAACCCCGCGAAATGGTGATCCGAATTACAGCCAAAGCATTCCACAAAGGTAACCCGTTGGAATACAGTCTGCGGACCGTGCCCGACGAAGCCACATTAGAGATACAATATACTAGAGAAATCGATCCAGACCATCCATCAGAGGTGAATATAATGGCACTAGTGTTAGTTTAATTCTTTTTGGGGGAGGGGGGGGGGGGTAATGATGCCACACGCAAAAACAGAACTAATCTACCTGAGACTAATCTTTAACAGACAATGACGTGTTTTATTCTGAAACTTTTTGACTTTGCAAACGACATCTTTCCAGTTTTATTATATTCCTGACACATTTGCTTAATATCCAGGCAAATATTTTCAAATGTACACCGCAATATAAAATATTGAATGAAAGACCACTGTTCTTCCAGGAGATGCGTATTGACATAGAGGAGAAGATGTACCATTTGGCTATAGATGGGAAGTCGTTTGGACTAATCCGCCGTTATAAACCAGAGCTCATTCCAAATGTAAGCATAATTAGCTTTATGTTATAAATATATAAAACATGCTGCCATTTGGGAAAATGAGTCTGGGACAAAAATTAAAGAATAAAAGAAAATACAGTAGATTAAAATGAAAAGAAAAAACGCTATTATAAATGTTATATTCAATTTTTGTACATATCTTCGTAATGATTTTAATTCGTTATTGATGGAGATGCTTCATTACTGTCGTCTGCTTCAGATTGTTCGCAGAGGGACGGTGTTTGCGCGTATGCTTCCAGAACAGAAGACGCACCTGATCACGGACCTACAAGATATGGAGTAAGCAGTCACTATTGCATAAACAACTCTCAATACTTAATTCCGGAAACTGTTTTGAAAAAAAAAACTTTTCTTTATGATTTAAGGGATTCCAGTTGTAACTTATTATCTAGGACGCGTCCTAGTTCTTATTATCGTCTTTCTGTTGGGTTTTTACATAGCACCTTTTGATTGGGTGAATAATCACTAACTGTTCAAAAAGCCTCTCGTCTCCATAAGATATTTAACATATTATGTATAACCTCAATTATGTTTTGATTGAGGACACTTTTTCATCTCTGTTCTTTTACCTGTACACTGCATGCGTCTAAGGATAGTCCTTTTTTTGTAGGTATTATGTTGGTATGTGTGGTGACGGAGCTAACGACTGCGGTGCACTGAAAACGGCACACGCAGGAATTTCCCTGAGTGTTGCCGAGGCCAGCGTTGCCTCTCCATTCACATCTCAGGAAACCAACATCATGTGTGTCCAAAAACTCATGAGGTAAGACATGAAACTCTTCACATTTATCTTTGAAAATTTCTGTAGGTTCCATTTCCTTTAAACAACACACCATGCTGTAAATTAATTATTTAAATACATTAGATTAATTATAGCTCACTGTCTGCAACTAATTTCATTTGCCAGAGATTCAGAATTACTTGGATTGACAGTTTATACTTCTGTGGAAACAGGTGTATTGCTTTTTTATAACCTAATGCTTTTTAACATACTTCTAGGGAGGGTCGCACAGCTTTGGTGACGTCATTTGGTCTGTTTAAGCACTTGCTTTGTAGCGCCATTATAGAGTTAGTTATGATACTCTTTTTGTATTATGTAAGTAATCCTTAAAACCTTTATTGTCCTATTTTATCCACCTCAAGTAGTGTAAATGTAAATGCTATAATAATAATAATAATAATAATAATAGCACCCACCGTACACTGAAACAGTAGGCCTTATACTTCAAATTTAATTTCCAGATATTTAACGGCCTTAACGACCCTCAGTTTTTGTACATCGACTTGGGACTTCTTGTGATCATTACCCTTTTCTGTGAGTATTTTTTGTGTTAGAATAATATCTATGATGTTCTACTATGTGCTGTGTTAGATGCATCCATAAAGTTCAAAGAGAGTCAACAAGAAATACAATATAATTTTACAGATCTCTCATTATCTCTCTAGATCTCTTTCTCTTTCATACACGCGTTGATACAACACACACGCGTTGATAATACAACAGTATCATAATACATGTGCCTGACATATATCTTTTCAGATGGTAACGTAGGCGCCTATCCGGTGCTTGTAAAGCGGCCGCCACCCTCAAAACTGATGGCCACCGTTCCCTTACTGTCCATCGGTTCCTTCTTAATTATTCAGTGTTGCTTTCTCACTTTCTGTTGGCTGCTTATGCAGGCTGAGCCATGGTAGATAGATTATTAGAATAGACAACCTAGAGACATTCGTCGTATTTTGATATTAATTAGAAATGTCTTTGTACTTCTGAACATTTTAAGGAAATTTCCATATTGGAGAGTGCAATGTTTCTTTTGTACATAGTTTGATAACAGTCAAATTTCAAAGATATTTAGAGAAATAGATTAAAATATTTTAAATTTGCAAAAGACATTTTTCTCATTGTCTCACCAATCAAGAAGTTATAAAGAGAAGGAGTAGAAACGGGACATCAATTATCTCTCTCGTCCAATCAGATCGCAGCATTCTTTTCAAAGCGGCGTCCTTTGAAATTCGATCCTCGTAACTGGTCTAATCCTCCGCTCGCCTCCGCGTGACTCAAGACGGAGAAGCTGAACCAGTGCGTATACGTCNTATTGCTGTCTTTTATCCAAATATCCAAAGATTTTAAAAGACAGGAGTCGAACAAATGTGTAATACATAGATTCCTGTTCTAGGTATTTGAAATGGGAATGGGATGATCAGCGTTTTGTTTGGGATTTGAAAGGATACGAGAATACTATGATGTTTTGTATGGGCTGCCTCTGCATCATCAACTCCGCCATTACGTTCTCACAAGGCGCGCCCTACCGCAAACATATGTTCACCAACTGTAAGCTACGTGTAACTTAACTGTCAAGCTTCGTTACATTTAGACTTAAAATAACCAAAACCATTCACTTAAAGCCTGTCAGATAATTCATCAAAGTTTATTGGTCCATGACAACTTTTATCAATAGTCATCGTTGAAAAATATTTTTAAATATTCTTAAAAGAAGAAATGTCCGTAGCCATTTTGAGTAGGGCAATGTTGGGATTTCATGAAATCCACGTACGTTGTACATGTAAAACCAACAAAGAATAAAAAATCCATATGCAGTATTTCAAATGAAAAAATCCGTTTCCACGGCACCGAAAAATGTCCATCGTTCTGTGTCAAAGGAAGTTTTAAATGCCTTGTTGGTCTATCTCAAATTTGAATCCCAAACTTATGAAGAAAAAGACATGTAGGATATTTTAGGGCCCCTGAGCTGCGATACAAATGGATAAGCATTTTATTTGCGTTCTGTTTTAGTTCTGTTCGTTCTGTGTTTGTTGGCTGGTTTTATTTTGACTTCTATCATTTGGTTATGGCACGGCGGGAAATATAACCTTTTCACCGGTCTTTTTGATGTGAGTATAAAATCGGTTGCTTTTTCTGTCCTGACTATATATTAAAAGATTTTGTTACTATTTTTGAGAGTGTTGTGTGGTCTTTTGTTTTTATAAAACCAGCTACTTTTTTTCATTATTTTCTTTTTTAAATTTTGGTTATCATTTTTATATGACTTTTACCTTATCTTTTTTGCGTGAATTTTTTTTCTTTCTAATTTTTTTCTTATTTCGTGACAATGATTCCATTTGGTTTTTAAAAAAAAATGACCATGCTTCGGTTGTTAAAATAGAGAATATAATTTATTGTATATTCTCATTTCAGCACATTGATTTCCCGTCTTATGGATTTTGTCTGCTACTCTACGCTAGTTTCTTTATCAATGTTTTTGTCAGCCTATCTTGTGAGGTAAGAACGAGACAGACGCTGTCGTGTTCCCTATTAGAAAAATATAACGCCAATGGCACAAGGAGGTGGCATTTATTTCACTATATCAATACAAAAAATATTCTAAAATAACGTCAAGTTCGTTTTATCTTGTTCTGGATTAAATATACTTAGATGACAAAAACACTGAAAAAATAATAGTGGCCATCTCTACTTCTACGGACAGTTTTAGCAATGTGCGGCTCTACATGCATATGAGTACGTAAAGCAATTTTTCAATCTGCTCCAATAAATCAAATTTACATTAAATACACATAAAATCTTACGGAGCTTATAGTACGTCTACTACCCAGCTGAAGTCCATTAAACATATATATATATATATATATATATATATATATATATATATATTTTTTTTTTTTTTTTTTTTTTTTTTTTTTTCAGACATTTTTGATACAAGATTTACTGTATCAAAAACTAAGACCAAAAATGTCTAGGCCAAAGCTGAAGCACCAACGCTTGGAACTGGAGCTACGACATAATGAAACCTGGCCGCCCTTGGACACCACATTAATTGAGGGAGAGCGCTTCTCTGAAAAGGGCAATGGCGCACTGATACAAGGAACAGGCGCACAAAGTTGTGATACACATTTGTAACAATGATTTCCTGATATATTGGATAATATTTAAAAAATAAACTCGGCCTCCTACATTCCACAAAGTAAAGTGGGGTTGAATATAGCCAAAGATGATGTTGGGTTTGAGAAATTATCTACAGTATGTACTACAGTTGTTTTGCACGTTCAGTATGTACCTAATTAGTATTAGGATGTGCTCGCTTAAGGACACGTGTCTTAATAGCGAGCGGCTATACCGCGTACTGCAATGGTGTCCTGTAGGCGGCGCAGCTCACCTTCACAGAAGTAACCCTGAAGTCAGCTCTTGCAGGGATACAAGCAATTATATATATATATATATATATATATATATATATATATGATTGCATAAGATTATGCAGTTTGTAATCTGCTACATCAGTACAACCTCAAGAATAGTTTCAAATTGTAAGTAGTAAGCGAATAGGCAGGGGTTTAAGATAAAGCTCAGCACAGTTGAAAGTGGAAAGGAGGTGAGGGGAGAGTCTTCACTTGCTCACATGTGCAATGCAAAGTACAAAAGATCAGGACATTGGGACATGAATCAAACGTATTTATTTATTAAATTGAATATTAAATAACTCATTTTAGTATTTTGAGGGAATGTAAAAGAAAGAAAACTTGATAAAACTGATGGAAGTTAAAATTCATCCAGTAATACAGTGTTTTATTTGATATATGTGAAATGATAATAAAATAAGAAAGGAATTTCAAGTCCCTTGTATTGTTTTTTTTTTTTTTTTTTTTTGCGTATCAATAACGGAAAATAATTAGGAAGACAAATTGTTGTACAGTTGGTACAAAAATAAATAGATAAATAAAATAAACGTTTTTTTTTTACATTTTAACAAAGGAAAATATAAAAACTAGTCGAGGCGCCTTACTCGTTTGAAAAATTGACGGGCCGTAATATGATGTTTTGCACGTACGTACTTTCATGGCTGAAGAAGTCCATAGCTTATTATTTATTTATGTTGTTGAAAACATCGTTTTAAACTTTGTACCTGGTTATAAATTCCAAAACACTTAGACTGAGCCCCGTGCTAGAAAGACAGATACTCCGTTCGTCTTGAGATCACATGGTGCCATCTCGTGGTCCCAAATATATTTGTCCAAGGTTATATTAAAAGATATCTCCTGTTAAATCAAACCACGCATTGAAATTTCTGTTATCAATGTCCTTATAGATGTGACCGTGAACTAGATACAGCACCATTAATAAACATGCAATCAGCCATTAACTTAATTCACGATCTGAAATGTGTATTATCAATGTCCAATTTACCTGACATTGTTATTGACACAATACTTAACATCATTTAAACAGTCAATAAGGATAAAGTTCAATCTCTCTAACAATATATAAATAGAAGCTGATGCGTAGTAAACCATTGTGTCAAATCGCTGTGCCAGGAGGACCACGACCCAACAAAAAAGGGCCAATATTAATCTCAGTACCATGCAATTAACGTCGTGTATTGTTATTTGTATATTAGGCCTACTACTCATAGACGTATGTTGGTGTAGGGCAGCTGGCAGTAGCTCACCTAGAACCGATCATGGTAGGTAAATTGTTAACATGACAGCCTAATAGTATTTCTGCATCAGTCGGCTAAAGATTAGAGCATGGCATGTAAAATTCAATAATGCTTTCTCGACCCTTCCGCAGTTTTTTTTTATTATAAAACTTGGAGCATGGATAAGAATAATAAAGTGGTCTTAATTTCTTCATGAAACGACTTTCTATTGACTTTTTATATCAAAAGAAGAGAAAACGACTTTCTTTTTCATTCTCAGGCGAAATGAAAATCATTTTGCCCCCTCCCCAATCTATAATGCTAAAAATGTCATTTGATTTTGTGCGTCAAAAAAGAACATTCATCGTTAAATGTATAAAAGTCGGTCTGAAACACTTTCAGAATTACGTTTTTTTGGTAAAATAATCAAAGGAATAAAGAGCTTTCTAGTACTAAAATAAAGCATATTTTGTAATTGATGACTATCATTTAATTGGAATATGGCACCTTTAGAACATTCAAACTTAATATTAAAATTTTAATAAAGAAGAAAAAATTGAGATGAGGCAATGATGAGCCTACTTATGGTGTGGTAATAATGTAGAACACGCATTTAGAGACGGTATTTTGATTGAACTAATCAGGCTAAGTTGACAGTACAGATCACACAAAATCAGAATCCATCTGTCGGATATTTTGCGCCTATAACTTTCGACTTTGCCTGTAAAACCATTTCTTCCAGCTGTAGACATTTCACTGGAAGAGCTGCAACGACAGTTTGCCCACGACGCGGTACATATCCGAGAAAATGGATGCCAGTGTTTGGCTTCAAGGTGTGGATGCTGTGCCGAGATTGTCTTCCCGCCACTTGCTATTGACAGTACAGGTAACTGTGGCTTACTGCTTTTCAAATGGTCAACTTAATGTTAAACGTTGAAGAACCCTCCTCGATTTGTCATTTGTTTGGTGGCCTTAGCCAGGTAGAGGAATGCATTTTTTTCAAAACTTTATCGAAGTAAAATTTCAACCGAAATGTCCTGAATTCCTTATCAAATAACTCAAAATCTTGATTTTGTATTTACAGTTTGGGCCTATCATCCAAGGATACAGTAGTCTATAATCTAAGCATGTAATCCTGCGTAATGGTAAACAGTGTTCCATGTTGCAAAACATTGATCCGTTTATTTATGAGAAAATTTGATCGGGGCCAAAGGTTGGTTTCTAAGCTACAGTATGTTTTATTTTGCCAACTGCAAATTTAGGAAGGGGGGGGGGGGCAGGGGATTCCTGCCCCCCGCCCCCTTCGGTTTCTGAAAAAAAATCCAACTAATATTCTCCTCTCAAAATTAGAATTTTGACTAGCTGAATCATAGTTCTAAACCGTACCAAATGGCACCGTTTGCCCTCCAAAACTCCATAATTTTGGGGGCCCTTGAGTGGGCCCCGAAAACTGCGTCGTCAGTAATACTACCTTCTGTTAACTTAAAAGTCCTTAAAATGATGCTTAGGTGGGGATGGTCGTTGATTTCTATCCTTTACCAGCTACACCACAATATCAAAGTTGAATGGAGTCAATAGCTAACCCGGCATGACGACATGCACTGTCTTTTGACCATAAAGTGCTATCTTCTCGGCAGGATTATCAGCAAGAAGTGTAACGTCGCCGCTATTGCTTTACTCAATTATACATTTTTGTTTTTTATGCTCCCTCCCTCCTTGAGCGGGCCTCGAACCCCACGTCAAGGGAACCGAGGCTCGGCTTCGTATCCGAGGCCCTGTATCTGTGGGATAAAACTTGATCTGTGAATTTTTCTTTTCTTTTCAGCATGTCTCAACTTCACATGGGATGAAGTGACAGACGTAAGTATTATGTACAATAATTACGTTATTATATTTTTCTATTCGTGGACAACATATCACATATAGATAACATATGTGGGTAACATTGCAAGTAACAGGCTACCCATTTTGTGGATAACATATCCGATTTTTATAGATAAAATAATATATCTCGAACTATATGAGATACATAATTATATGATATTGAAATGATAATGAATACATGCAAAAATTACTTTCATTATTTTCTCAAGGAACTTAACGTGGTATTTGCCGTTGACAAGTCGGTCCTACTTAATGAAACTATATCTGGTAAGGACTTAACCCTGTGAGTACAGACATGGTACAAAACGCGGTGTGTGTCTGTGTGTGTGTGTGTGTGTGTGTGTGTGTGTGTGTGAGAGAGAGAGAGAGGGAGAGATAGAGAGATACTGTTTTGTAACAATGTGTTCGAGTTTTAGATATAAGAGAATCCAAATGTATACATACATCACCTGAAAGTTTAATTCATTAAATGTACTTATTCGTTAGAAAAACCAATTGGAACAATAGTTAAATTTAACTGGTTTTGCTTTCAGCCGTCAACCCACCGCCTCTGTGCGCGGGTCTACCTGGCGTTGCAACATGGTGCACTATATTCTATAACATGAGTTACGAGCCAGGGCACTTAGGGGGATGTCTGAGATACGAGTTACGATTCCTAACACAAACACTACTCAGAGTTCCAGCTGGTTGTTTTTACTTCCCGGGAAACCACCTGCACCCACAAATCATACAGCGCTACATGCGTCCTGTGCAACGAGTGGATCCTCTGCGTTCTCACACTAAGGAAGGCGGTCGAAATTATTTTCTTATGCACCAGGTCCGACAGCAACCGGGTTCAGTATTTAGGGGGGTCATGCGGGAATTTGATAATAGCATTGAACGATCTGGTTACCATGTGCTAACGTCCGATAATGGTAACGAACGGTCTGGTTACCACACGCTGAGGACAGAGGATGTGATGACCAAATCCAGTAATGGCACTGGATGTAGCTGCTCAGGAAACAAGTGTGGTTGCTGTGTCCAAGCGGTGTTTAAGCCATTGCAGGTCAACGATACTGGTGAGTGATTGTCGGGTATAAGAAAATTACAAGTTTAAAAAATAATCACCTGGAAGGATGTGCATAGTGAGAACACCATGTAAAGCCATTTAGCAATTTATATGTAAAACGTTTCTACCATATCTCTACCATTGTATTTGATAGTAAATTTGCATGTGACAAATATTTGTTGAATTAAAAATGTTATCTAAAACAATTCCATCTTTTTATGTTCAGTTTGCGCCAATTTCACCTTGGATACGAAAAATGATGTAAGTTTTTGTCTGGGGGAGATTAAAGAAAATTTTTATATTTCTTAAAGTCGGGTACTATTGATTAAATCTGCACTTGGAATATTAGAATGTGTTGTTTCTTACTTTAAATGTAGACCCAGTACAATGAAACTGATCTAAATTTATCTTTTCCTGCAAATGTTCCTTCCAGACCTTAAACGTTGTTGTTACCATCAACGACAACGTTCTCCTTAACGAGACAGTGGATGGTAAGAATATGCACCTTACATTTATGGTCTACTTATTATTACTTGTATCTTTTTGCAACACAAATATTTGAAGCATTGCTTTGCTTGCTCTTTTATGCTGACAGTGCACAACAGAAAATCAAATGAACAGTTCTATTAACCCCAATGCATTTAGACTGCCTGAAAATGGTATTCTCTCAAACTTTGTAAATGTAAAACATCCATAGTTTTGCTCAGTAAGCCTTGTCTTAATGAATACTTCAGCCATCAAATGGAAATAACGATTGAATAAATAAACATATATTCAATTTCATTGTTTATCTTTTCAGCTCACAATCCCCCACCCCTTTGCCAAGGAATGCCTGGTATTGGTACATGGTGCACCATATTCTACAACATGACATACAACCCCTTTGGAGGCTGCATGAAGTTTGAGGTTCGCATCTTAGGAAAGACGGTGTTAACAATACCAGCTGGCTGCTTTCACTTCCCTGGAAAATTACATAGGCCTCACAGAAAACTAGAAGAATTGGACCATCTTGCCCATTTTCTTAAGAAACAGTCAATTTCCAGAGGGCCTTCACATCTTGAAAGCCAAATGGAAAAGGGTGAAATTTTTGTACCCCACAAGTAGTTGTGATTTAGTGCAGTTGTGAATTTTGTTGGTGCCCTAGGCATGACTGGTTTCAAAGCAAAGGCCTGTTTCACTTAGTCTAAAGTTCTTGGGCTTAGTCGGCTAACACTGGATGGCAGAATAGATCAAAGAATAATTATGAAGCATAGAACAGAGTAAAAAAAATGACATATGGTAACTATACTTCAATAGTGTAATCTTTTATTCAATTGTTTATATTTAGTTTCATGTACAAGTACAATAATTTACACTAGTCCCCTTACTGTGTCAGTACATCTGTACAAATAAAAATGACTAGATCAATAAAATTCTTTTGAACACTGTTCACAGACAAGTTGCTTTCAAACCTTAGACTGCACCTAAACAGATATTTCAAGTACACAATTCTAAAGAGGTTCAAGCATTTTCTCTTATTCAGTGAAAGGGGCACCAAATAATATCCCAGATTTATTTGTTGTCACCATGCACCACAATTGTTTTTCCGATACCAATCTTCAGATGCATTTTTTTTTCTGTTGAGATCCCTAATAAATAAAAAAACTGGTTTAAGCAGATTGCAAACATTGTTCTGTACCATGTTAATGCATTGTTTTTCTCTCTACCTCAGTGAAAGCACAGCTCCAAATACATTTCCTATTCTCCCACTAAAGAACACATATGCTATACTGATCCTTCACAACCCAGCTGTGGCTGCTATGACCATTAACAGATTTCAGATCCACTCTCCATTTTTTTGCCTACATATTTTTTCCAAAGTGCTTCAATCAATCCAATAGCAGAGACGTAATGTAATTGCAACAGTTAACTCTATAAAATAGGTCTAGATAATGCTGACTACGTTCTCATCTTATACAAGCACAATACATACACGAGGAATAATGCTAGCTCTGAGTAACCAACACAGTTAACAACTCCTATATATATCATGTATATGCATCTTTTTGAAAAATGAGTTATAATGGTTATACCAATTTTTCAGTTAATACCACAAAATACATAACCAGATACATCAAAACCATATCGGCAATTTTGTCCTGCCAATACAAAAACTTCCACATTCTGAATATCTACCAAGCAGCACTAGTTTACTGAGAGAACCCGAGAAGGCATAACCACAGGACAAGAAGCTGAATAAACTGCTTTTACCACTATTATATAAATATGTATATCTGTTCATGTCTGTGTATGCACATCTTACATATACCTAACAAGAATACAAAACAGGACGTTTGTCATCCATATGGGTACTATGATAACTGCAAGCATTTGCCTACTGAATGATTTCTTACATCTAAATGCAACCAGTGCATGTGGGCTTATTTTTGACACACACACCACTGAAAGTAACAAGCTAGGTGCTACCTAGCCTTCTTGAATTCTACCAGATAACATCCTGGGTTTCCCAAGGTTTTGGATTGATTTAAACAATTGGCCCTTCTAGCTCCTATACTTAAACATATATTCCAGTAGCTACATCCTTGGGAACGTATCTTTGTACACAGAAGACTCTGAAAGAAAATGTATTCCAGGAAATACTTCAGGGATGTCCATTCCATGTGTTTAAGACTAAAAATGTGACGTCCTGGGCCAATTCTTTTTGCTCTTTTCCTTGCACTGTATTCTTGAGGCTCATTTCTTGACAACTTTAGGGGTCCCAAAATACCTATCCCACACTTCCTGTATTGATTTCACCCACTCTAGAGCATAGCCATCTGGGTCATCTAAATAGTATGTTCTTTTTGGCTAAAATCAGAAAATAAAAATCATTTGAGTAAAGATGCATTTGAGCATTTTTTATGCATTGTATAATGAAAGCTCACTTGAATGTTATACACTGCAAGTTTGTAACCTTAAATAAACAACAAATGTGCAAAGTTGTCTTATTTCAGCCTCATATACATCAAATCAAAGGCATAAAATGTAAGAACATGATGCTCACAGTATGAACATAGAAAATGTGGAAATTTTTAGCCTCTGGTCTCAGTTCTCTGGACCATGGTATCTGTCCCTTAAGAACCATATTAACTGGATCCACATAGTAAAGGTGTGGCCCCTCTGTTAGCAACATCATCCTTCTTCTAGAGAACAAACCCTAAAAAGATTACCAAACATTTAAGACGGTTAATCTTTATCAAAACTCCTGTATTCTCTTTACAGTGTACATAAATAATCTATATGTCATATACTCCCAAAGACTAACAAAGTTTTGGGTAATTAAATGTTCTGGTCATTTGAAAATTTAAAGAATATCCAAGTTATGGTCGTATTCCAAAAAGAGCACACACATATGCATTTGGTACAGGATTATTTCCTGAAAACATTCTTGAATCATGCCTACCCTTTTTTTATCCACCAAGCCTTGTTTCAGTACTAAGTGATTTTCTACAAACTTATGGTAGATGTTTTCCCGCTTCTGTTTTTCTATCAGTTCACTATGCTCTTGTTCTGTCATCCTAAAAGTAAGTCAAATTCATATTAAGTGGCTTTATTCTGTCCAACACCTGACTGCTTACAAAAAGTGTTATATTTATTTCAACATCAGAAATATACATTACAAAACAACTATTTCAAAGTTTAACAGCCAACATATTAACTACCCTTCACAAAATTCAAAACTGCATTTTGTTCCCCATTGCTACATATATATACCTGCAAACATGTGTGACTTTGATTCAGAACATTAATTCGAAGACAGTTTACAAATCTTAAAAAGTTACTTACATGTTGTCAAAGCTCTCCTCATGCATGCAGTCTGTCTTGTCATCCACTTCTACCTTGCATAACAGCTGACTGATGTGCATTTCATCATAACCAGGCTACAAATAACACAAAAACAACTTTTATTACATCTTATTGCAAGGAATTATAATTCTTAAAAGAGTATTGTACATAAAGTGGGCCAGACAATTAAGCTGATCATACTGAGTGCATTTAAGTGAGAATCTTCACAGATATAGATTGATCCTGCGGGACGGATAACTTTTAATCTGAACACAGCCCAAATCTATAGTCATTATAATTACTGTGTAGAAAATGGCAAGCTAACCAACCTTGAGATCCTTGTACAGATTGTCATTGTCTCTGTTTTTGTTTAGGGGTTCTAAAGGGGGTTTCTGATTGATCAAATCATCCCATTTTATGCCTTTGAGAAATGAATGGGTCTTCAATGGTCCATAACCACCTTCTTCCTCACAGCCAATACGCTTTGTGGGATCCAGTTGCTATAGAAATATGTAAATTAATATCAGAAAATCAAGGGTTCAAATAGAGGTAAAATAACATAAATAAGTAATATAAATGTAATCACAAATTAAGTTCTTAGGAAAAAACAACAGCAACCTAAAAATGTAATCTATGGCAAAAAACCTTTGAAGTAGAATGAAGTGGACCTTTTCCAATAATGCAGTTTTCAATTTTACAATTGTACTTACTATTAGCTTGTCCACAAGATCTCTAGCATCTGGATCAAATCCTTCAGGAAAGGCATAATCAACTTTCACAATTTTCTGGAAAATTTCATATTCATGTCTGAAAGATAAAAGAAGAATTTTAAATATGATGGACAAATCAAGTCACCAACAGAAAACATTTTAACTAAGAATGAAACACTTAATTAAAACCAGTGAAAACAGAATAAAAGTTAAAAATCATTTCAGTTACCTTAATAATTTCCTAAACCCAATATTTTTTTATCAGAAGAGCACATATGTAATATCACATTCATCCATAAACTTAGCATTTCATTACCATCAAAGATTATATATTCATTCCAATATGAGAGAGGTGTGTGTATATACTGACCTTCCTCTAAATGGTGTCAATCCACCTAATAATTGGTATATTATACAACCCAAAGCCCATAAGTCCGAGCTATAAGAAGAGAGAGTTTATAATCAAGTTTTTATAAATACACACAAAAAGCTGACAGAAATTCATTTTAATTCAAATTTAAGCATAAAGTGTGCAAGTTAATTATTCACTGTAACTATTGCTCTGATTGATAAGGACTGTTGTGCATCTTTCATCAGTCGATCAGTTATTTTAGCATATGAATAGAAAAGGCACAGCATTATCAGCTCTAATACACTTTCTTCTTACTAAAAAATAACTTTATTAAATATTATAGTTTCTTCTAGTCCAGCTACACTTACCTGCAATACGTTGTCTTACTAGTGAGCACTTCTGGAGAAACATACTGAGCTGTTCCTACAAATGAATTACGCCGCCTTCCAGCATTAGAGTCTAAAACAAGAATGGTAACAGGTGAACAATCGATCCACTCAGATATTAAGGATACTGTTAGTGTTTTCCAAAATCTCCTTATGTCCTGCCTAACATACATTCTTTTAGATAAAAAAATAAATCTTCAGTGTTCAGTGACTTAATTAATTAACATTGACACAGATGTCATCTTACGGGTGACGTCATAACTGCAATTTTGGGGTAAAAATTGAAAATTTGGTTTCTCTCATTTCTCCTTTACCTGAGAACCCACGAACATGGTTTTAACACAAATTTAATGACACCATTTAGTACTCAGAAACCCTGCCAGCAATTTTTCTTAAAAGTCTTAGTTTCGATATTATCATTATCCAGCTTTTTTTTTTTCAAAATACTTTGTTTACACATAATGATGATAACAACAGCATCTTTTAGTTTTAGCTGCTAGAATAAAGTTCAAATTTTCACTAAATGAATTAAGTGACAACATAACATCACAATGATGTTAATCATAACAGGCCCAAAAACTATTAATATTAGTTTGATCTTGGATATGAATCTTATACAATTATTTTCAAATTCCTTACCTTCATTTGTGTTGTTTTGAACCTCTCTTTTTATAATTTTAGCTGAGCCAAAATCTGTTATTTGTATGTGCATGTTGTCACCAAACAGAATGTTTTCAGGCTTCAAATCTCTGAAATAAAAATTTGCAAGAAATTGATAGTATATGTGCCAACACCTTTTGCCCTCTACCCCATCTAATTTGTCAACTTATTCATTTTATTTCATCAACACAATGTTAAACATACATCCCATAACTGACTGTTAATCTCAAGAGAATCATGTGACTACTTCAATAAATGCTTTCTACTTACCTATGGATAATCCCTTTTCCATGTAAGTGTTCTAATGCTGATACAATTTCTGCTGTATAAAAGCGAGTCTGTTCCAGACTAAAAGAACCCATTTTATTCAGATATTCAAACAATTCTCCTCTTCTTGCATAACTCAAACAAAAGTCTACACACACTGTTAAGGTTACACAACAGTCCTTAGTCAAATATTGTACACAATTACTAATAATAAATTATATAATAAATAAGAAAAAAATATTTTAGGTGCTTCAACTGACATGCCAAATTGGGTATCCACGCGAAACATGAAGTGTGAAATAGCAAAAATTTGCTTACTTTCATTTTTTTTTGTTGACATTACACGTGTCAATTTTTGAAGGATGAGTCTAGTGACAGATTCTGATGACAGAGTCATATTCCAAGTACTGTTTATCTAACCACCACTGACAAGTATGATAGGACCCTCGAGGCAAGAAGGAAAATTAAAAAAAAAAAAAAGAAATTTCCTATACATAAAAAAGTTCTACCTTTTTGACATTTACAATTATTTTCAACAAATGTTACAGCTATTTTCTATAATGACAGAATGAGTATTACCATATCCATGGGATTTGGATAATGTTCTTGATATTATAAGGATACATAACCTATCCATGTCTTGAAATGTGAAGTACATCCTTACAAAAAATGGGTGGTTTATCATAGCAAATACTTCCTTCTCTCTGTGAACATATTCCGTTTTATGCTCTTTGATGATGAAACGTTTTTCAAGTACTTTCACTAAAAATGAAATTAAATACACAAATCAAGTTAAATTATTCCAGGTAATCCATAAAATTATCTTTACTTTGAGAGGATAAGTATTTCTATAGATGTTAATTTAAACTAACAGATGGAATGTGATAACTTAAAAGTTTCCTGAACATAAAAATATTTTAACGGAAAAGAAGTTTTTTTTCTTAAATTCATGACGAAATTGAGAGAGAAAATCTAATATAATGAACAACATTTTAATCTTCAATAATGCAAATAAAATACAGTGATTTAAATATTATCCCTTTAGTGTTACCAAGTCATCATTGAAGAATTCTGCCACTTTTACCATGCTTAAAGCTTATTATATAAATAAATTTTAAAAAACATACTTGCGTATTCTTTTCCTGTGCTTACTTCTTTCACCAAAAATACCTAAATTAGAAAAGGGCTTAGTGTGAGTAACACTGTACACTTTGACTGCCAATTAACCTATATGGTATATAGTGTAATTTTCAAAGCCAAAATTTCAAAATTAAGGACAAAGAATCTGACAAACGGTGAAAGTCCCGTTAAAAAAATCACATTCAGGAAATGGAGGGTTAATGTCAATTTTAGCATTTAACAGCACCAAATTGAAACTGCTTCCTAATGACCTAATACCAAAATGTTAGGTCTGACATACACAGGTAAACCACAGAATTGGTACAGGTGCCAGTTAATTAAATTTCTGTGATTCATGCAACCAAAACATTACTATTAAAAAAAGTTAAAGTTCACTCAGCATGAAATGTCAAGGGGTTCTGGGCATAGGAATGACTGACTCACTGTTGAATAAGATCCCTCTCCTATGACCTTTCCAAACAGAAAGTCTTCTGGCTTCTTTTTCATCTGCTTCATACTACTTCTTTTACTCATTTTGTTGTCTGTTCCTTGGCCATCACTCCGTTCCCCTTGGGGTACTGGACTAGAGGGTTCTTGGGAAGAGGGGCTCTTCCGCTGAGTTTCACTCTGAGTAAAAAAAAGTTGAATATACTTAACATCATCTTTTATAACTTTCAAATAATTTTGTCTATTTATATCAAATTTTGTGGTTTACTTGGAAGACATTAAAAGAAAAAACATCTTGAAAACTTTTCTGAAACCTTCATTTGGTTATTTGGTTTACCTGAAATATTTTTAAAAGATGGTACATTTAACAAAAATATATATAATTTAATGGAGAACTAGGTCGTATTATGGGTATCAGCACATTCAGGTTGAACAGGTGCTCATTTGGACTAACATGTAATATCTTTTCCACAAGAAATATGAAGGTGAAATTGTCTTTCATACTTATGTTTCACAGGATCTATAATTGTGTTTTGCTGATCATGAGTAATAATCACCTCTCAATCTGTCATAACAAGTACATGACAATATGTTGTCTTAATAAATAATAGATGAGATTGGTATCTGACCTTTCTATGTCCCACAGTGAAAGTAATAAAACCCTAGACACCATGCAGACTAGAACATTTCAGGGAATTCAGAACAGAATGCACTCAATCAATAATACTGCTTTCAGTGTGGCATAATAAACCAATTTCAACAAACTGATAGCACCATTAAGATCATAAACTTGTAATATATCTTTCTCCTAAAAAAAAAAGAAAAAAAAAAATCTCCTAGCACAAAATTGGTCACATATGATCACAATGCAGTGCATTAATGCTGTCACACTGGCCTGTTCTAGTGCTTTTGCTTTGTCTCCTGTGTAGAGCCCCAAATTCATGTTGTAGGACTTCTGTTTAACTTCTTCCTTACTTAAGAAATTACAAACAAAGAGCCCACTGGTACTAAGAATATCAGATGAAGAATAGAACAAAGAATTATTATCTGAAGTGTTATCTTAACCGTTGCATACATTAGTCTAATTCAATGTACATGCGGCCTAGAATCACCATTAGCTATCCATATTTCATCATTTGCTGTAACAAAGGTTGAAAAAACTTTGAATATTTGGATTTGTCAAATTAAATATTGCGTAAATCTCATTCTTAAATTGATGCATTTTTAGGCAAAATGAGAAAATAAAAATATTTAAATGTATAACCATTAATCAAGACATGCAGTGATAATGAATTTTTATGCCAAAAAAAAAAAAAAAAAAAAAAAAAGAAGAAGATTCTTTTCTAGCAGAGTTCAAATTCTCAACTTTAAAAGAATGCAAACATCATGTTTCTGCCCCTTCACTAGTATTCTAAATATTAGCTTATTTGGATTGTAACTTTTAATATAACTATGTAGCAGGATGTAACTCTATAATCTTATTATAAAATCATGACAGCCATTCAGAAGGAAATATACAGTGAAATGTAAGAAATTATTATGCTGAATCACAACTGAATGTCAAAAGCCCAACAAAACAAAAAGAATATCACATATTATGACAGATAATGTAGATTTTAATGCCACCTACAACACCTATGAGTGGTTTCATTTCAAAAGTACTACTAGCATTAACGTCGGTAAAAAAGGAATAAAAATCGCGGTAGTAAATTAATATTTCTATCTTATAAAATAGATACATTACTGTACACACGAGTTTCTGAATAACTCTGTTGGGCCTGCTAGTATTCATTAAAGTACACTGTGTAACTGGAGCATCCAAACACAATGTTACTTTCTACCGACAAAGCAAGGCTGTTATTAAAACTTGAGTGGCAATAACAAAACTGCAACAGGAAGCTCGTGGTTTGAAGCATGTTTTCACATTAATAGACAACATTCAAATATATTGCAGGGCGACCAGAACACCAAACCACATCAAAACAAGTCACCAGTTCAGTTGGTATGCAAAATAATCTTACCATGGCCTTTATATTCGATGTTTTTATCTTCTACTGCCAACAGTTCTGTCTGGTGGCGGCCATCTTCCTGCATAGACGGAAGAAACACTGATTCTTGCGTAAGAGCTTCCTGTCTAAAATCCAGATTTAGGCACGTTTTATGGATGAATGTAATAGCTAATAAAATTTTAAATGAAAAGAAAAGTTCTATCTGTATACAGGAAAGTTAATTTTAAGATAGATTTACGTAAACTTTATCATTTTACCAACTTTTCATATGAATTTGCCTTACGGTTCTCACGTTGACGTCATTTCAATCTGAATCATCCGGGTATCGATGATGGCTGCACTATTTACCCACGACGACTGATTCATTGCTAAGCAGTCAAGTAAATTTCAGGTTTGTAGAATCCGACTTTATTGATACATATCACGTGCAATAGAGAGACAGCTGTTTTATTTTATATATTAGAAACTCTTAACGTTCGGGTTAGGCAAATTGCAATAGACGTCTGTCAACAAGGGCACCTATTTCCTGATTTGGAGGTAGGGGAAATTGACACCCTTTTGCAAGATGATCCTATTTTTACCTTGGCTTACCTGTATCATGAACATTTAACAAATCGACTGAGAGACGTTTTACTTGAATGTTGCGTGTTTGATGGTTTTTTAACTCTCTTTGTTAACCTGACAGTGATTTGCATCAATGTTTTATACAGACTCGGTACTCGTAATTCAATTATCCAGACTCATCAGACGTGTCCTGTTTGTTGACTGTTACATAATCTTGTAACCACATTACCGTTGGGAGGCAAAGGGGTATTAATCTACATTATCTATACTGGCAGTAAGTAAACCATGTCTGTGAAAGTATAAAATGTAATATCACATGGATATATCATGCATACATGAAGTTTGGTCATGTGTCCCACAGTTATATTTTCTCTTTCCATATATCTGGCAGAGCTATTTATCTTTTCCAGTTCAGACCTCTAAGACACTAAGGTAAATGCCCTGTAACATATATAAATTATTAGCACTAGTTCCTTAAACAGCAAATAAAATCCACATGGTAAAATATGATTTGACATAAGTACTAGCTAAACATGCATCTTTAAAAAGCAATTTTTTAAAACGATGAAAATCCTTAAGTAATAGTACTTGATGTCAATATTTTTTCTGAAACCCACTGGGTGACATGTCAGTCTCAGGGCGCATTCCCATAAATACCAACGGTCTGCAGACTACTAGTATGTAGATCAATCCAGCTCTGTGGGGACTTTTGCTGAATGCAGTCAGTTGAACAGATTAACATGCCTTCTCTTGGCATTGAGTAGAATACAGACAAGCTGATTATTATATGAGTCAAGGAAGCATGTCATTCAGTTAAGCTGATTGCACTCATTGAAAGTCCCCACATAGTTGAATCAAATTACATACACCCAATGGTGTCTACAGTAGCCCCTACATGAACCCGAAGTGACTGGCCAGTCATTTAGACTTAAATTCTTTATTAGGAAATGTAAAATAAAATAAAAGATAGGATCCAAGTGCAGGGATGTTGAGCAATGATTCACGAGAAGGAGAAAATTGCTCTTTTTTCAAAGATAATACAATTTGGTGGGATCTTGGTTAAGATTCTTTATTAGGAAATGTAAAATAAAATAAAAGATAGGATCCAAGTGCAGGGATGTTGAGCAATGATTCACGAGAAGGAGAAAATTGCTCTTTTTTCAAAGATAATACAATTTGATGGGATCTTGGTTAAGATAACTCTAAGGTGACCCAATTCATCCAGTACAAGTCTAGATCTTCATCTTTCTTCTAAAAATACTACCAATGCACAGGTATAACTTGGCTCTTATTTACTGGTAATATAAGTATTTTAGGTATAAGCAAGTTTTTTCATCCTGCTGTGTACATGTGCACTTGGCGGTATGCATAAAGTGTAGTTCTGAGGAGCTGATATTTAGATGTACAGTGAAGACTGGTTCTTGCCTTAAAACTACATAGAGCACATTCAGAACACATGATCTGCAGACCAACTGATCTGCCAAATAAATATGTCTGACCCCGTTTAAGAGCAAATCATTTAATTCCCTGATGTGGAGGCGGGGCCTCCATCATGGGAGTAGCTGTATTGCTTTTAAGTTGGTCGGTCACATTTAGTCCGCAGATCTGTTAGTCAGAGGAACATCTGCTCATACAGTTTATTCATAGGCAGGTTAATAGACTGAGGTAATACAGTTGATATGAGAATTGGGTTATTAACAATTGTCACTGTTTATTTTGGTCAAAATTCTTAAAAAATTATTGCACTTTTCAGGGCCCCCAAACAATCATGATGCATAAAAAATGGAACATAGACAACTCAAAAACCTTAATACTTCTGCATCTTTACATATAACACTTGACCATGTTATCATTGTTACAAAATATGACATCCTATGGTCATGAATGATCTTTAATGGACTATTAAATCAGACATTACCTTTTTCCACAGAAAAGCAGAATTCTACATTTTTTAATTCAATTCCTATGGTTCCGAAGGTTAGGTGTTGGATCCCATGATAATGTCCAGAGGTTTTTTTTTTGAAACCTAGGATCATGTCTGGAAATAAGGCCAAACAAATGAAATTTCTTACTTGACATAATATTTATAGATTAACTTTGATACAATTTAATTCAAGATCAGAGCAACAGGAGAATATCAGCTTGTCTTGGGAAGCCACCATTGGGCATTTAGCAATCAGGAAGTGTAAACAGACATGGATATGTTGTATTTTGCTTTTTAAATAAAATGTTCAACAAATTTCATTACTACTACTACTACTACTACTACTACAACTACTACTACAACTACTACTACTACTACTACTACTACTACTACTACTACTGTTGGGAATTCTCTCAATTAACATCATTCTGATGAACCAAACTATTAACAAGGGTTTAGCGACATTAAAACTGTCTTGATTGCATACAAATAGCTCAACAAATCACTTCTTGTTGGCTTGCTGGAGCAGAAGCATGGAACAATAAAATCCTGACCAGATAAATTGGGATGTGTTGCAGACACCCTAAGTCTGGGTGTGTTTTATGTACTTACAGTAAAAATATGTGTTAAAAATGTACACTTTGTCCCTTTGAATAAGGCCAAAGTGGTAGAGACCATAAATAAATCAATAGCTCAAGTTAGAAATAGCATTTTACTATGGTGATTTTTTCATTATCTACTGTAACAGATATAGATGATACACATCATTTATCAATTAATCAGATAATTTTATATATGTATATGATGTAATAGAGTGGGCTAAATATATAAAACATTTACTGAAAGTAGCTCCAATGTTAGTGTCATCTCTCCATGCCCTGACCATGGATATTTTCCAGTTTGCTTCATGGTCTATGCTTTTAGCTCACTGACTTGACAAATCAATACTGTCTGTCTGAACTCTCAGAATTTTGCAGAAATAGCATTCTTTCCTGGAATAATGATTATTATTTGCCTTGCCTTGACCTCGTTGTTGTTGTTGTGATGGTTGCTTAGTACATGTTAATTTGCCCCCCCCTCCTCCTTTGACACATTCTGTATTTCATTTTTATTGTTTTATACATTAATCCCATTAAACAACTATAATAGTATGTCATTTTATTTTAATGTCAGCTTACCAAGTTACCCCAGTTAAGCTTCAAAATATCCTGTATGATTTCTTTTTTATTCATACAATATTGCAATGTGTTTGTGTTTATGTCTACTAGACAGTATGTATGTCTGCATTTGCTTTTGTCTGCCATACATGTACATGCTCTGGTACTAATAGGCTTTTTTTGGTTAAGAAAAATATTGTATTTGGACTTTGAAAAATAAATTATTATTAAAAGGTCATTGGTCTTTAACAAGTTATATTAAGAAAATAAGCAGTATATAGAGAATTCAATAAGTAGAACTGTTTGTCCATTAGGAATGTGTTTTTAGAAGCAGCATTCTGAAACTTGAGATTGTGAGAAACACAACCCAGGAGGTTGATCAGCGTCTTCTCTGATGCAATCATGTTTCCAGGATCCCAGGTACAGATGCATATTCACACAACGTTGGCTGGATCCAGCAGAAAGGTTTATTTGAGCATTTCCAATAAAGTAGTTTGTGTCGAGTTATCATTGATTCTGGAATTATGATTCAGTATTAGCTAAAAATGAATTGTTATAGTTCGGTATCTATAGGGAAGTATAGAGATAAAGATAAACTTTGTACAGATAAACTTCATTGCAGTTAAACTGGCATTTTTTGAAATGGATTGTTTTACAAACCTTGTTGATAAATAACAGCATTGCATGAACATGCCCGTCTTTCAGTTGTATTCAGTATAGTTGTATCTGGGTGGAGACCTCCCGTTGTAATGTATTTGTACTGTCATATAGATAGCCTGGGACAAAGCACATGTCTGTGATAATTTGTATACTCCATTGGTGGGAATGACATTTATTAGCCATGCTGACATTCCTGCCAGATTGACTTTTACTGGACATTTTTGGAAATTTAATTCATAAGTGAGATGGGTACTGTATGAGTGGATACTAGTATCTTGTCTTGGGGATTGGCAATAGATGTGTCTGTTGCTTGTAAATTGTGGCTTGTGTATAGAGGAAAGGTGTACTTAAGAGCTGGTAGCAAAAATAGTCTAAAGTTTGGATGTTCTGCCTGCTTTTTGCTTGACCCAGATAAGAATGGCCNGGAACATCTGCTCTGAATGTGCTCATACAGTTTATTCATAGGCAGGTTAATATACTGAGGTAATACAGTTGATATGAGAATTGGGTTATTAACAATTGTCTATTTAGGTCAAAATTCTTAAAAAATTATTGCACTTTTCAGGGCCCCCAAAAAATCATGATGCATAAAAAATGGAACATAGACAACTCAAAAACCTTAATACTTCTGCATCTTTACATATAACACTTGACCATGTTATCATTGTTACAACATATGACATCCTATGGTCATGAATGATCTTTAATGGACTATTAAATCAGACATTACCTTTTTCCACAGAAAAGCAAAATTCTGCATTTTTTAATTCAATTCCTATGGTTCCGAAGGTTAGGTGTTGGATCCCATGATAATATCCAGAGGGTTTTTTTTTTTTTTTTTTTTTTTTTGAAACCTAGGATCATATCTGGAAATTAGGCCAAACAAATGAAATTTCTTACCTGACATAATATTTATAGATTAACTTTGATACAATTTAATTCAAGATCAGAGCAACAGGAGAA